AATGTAACTGATTCTGCTTATGTGGCTAACTTAGTTTCCTGACTGGACAAAGTAGTCTTAACTTCGTCAAACAATCAGATGTTATTAGAGGTTTTGTTAGAACTTTGGAAAACTATTAAGTCACACACAGGACCCTATTTTATCATGTACATACGTAGTCATACCACTTTACCTGAATTTTATATGGAAGGTAATGACAGAGCGGATGCTCTTGTCTCTGCAATGGCTTTGAGTACTGTTCCTAATATGCAACAACAAGCTGTTCTATCACATCAATTTTTTCATCAAGGTTTTCGAGCTCTACGACAGCAGTTCAGTTTGTCTCATTCTGAAGGTCGGTCTATTGTTGCTGCTAGTCCTGATTGTCAAGGAACTCATACTCCAGTGTATTTCAGTACCAATCCCAGAGGTATTCAAGCTTTACAGATTTGGCAAACTGATGTTACTCATATACCTGAGTTTGGTCGACAAAAATATGTTCATGTTTCTGTTGATACTTATTCACATGCTTTGGTGGCAACAGCACATAATGGAGAAATAAGCAAGGATGTAATCCGACATTTACAGAAAGCTTTTTCTATCCTTGGGGTGCCATGTCAAATTAAAACAGATAATGGTCCGGCATATGCCTCACAGAAAGTTCAAACATCCTTTAATTTATGGGGTGTTACTCATATTACAGGGATTCCCCATTCCCCAACAGGACAAGCAATTGTCGAGCGTGCATATGGCATGCTGAAGCAGCAGCTTCAAAAACAAAAAGGGGGAATGGTTGGGGAACCACCACAGGCGTGTTTAGATAAAGCAGTTTATATTCTTAATATCCTTCATTATGGGGATGTTGCTTCTACACCCCCTATATTGCAACATTTTTCCTCTCTTTTTTCAAAACAGAATTTGCAAAAGGGCACCAAAGTTCATGTTAAAGATTTAGTTACTGGCCAGTGGAGTGGACCACGTAAGTTACTAACCTGGGGAAGAGGTTATGCTTGTGTTTCCACAGGTCACGGCTCCCGATGGCTACCAGCAAGGTGTGTGCGACCACACCTGAGGGTGAGAGGCAGCCAGCACTCAGGATCCAGCTGTGGGTGCTGTGAGTGCCCCTGTGCCGACAATTTGTGATCTCTTCAACTGATCGTTCAAGCAGAATGTCTGGGTAATGTTTGCTACTGCAACAGAACAAACTACACTACAGTTGCCAATTCTTTTAAGAGAAAATGCTAACAGTAATTGCAACTCCTTAATGAAATATCTAGGCTTACTAGTCACTAGTGAAACATGTAGTTTAGATGGAATGTAGTTATTAATAAGGATGAAATGCTATCAGAATGTGTGTTTTCAACTAACTTTGCTTAGCAATATCAAGAATTAAGAACTCAAGTGTTTAACCTTATTAGAAACTCCTTTGGTTTTCCCCCTTGAGTGGTGGCCGGGCTCTGGGTGGAACCCAACAGGAGGATGAAATCAGATGTTTCTGCACAAAGAAAATTGCCAGTTATTTTGGCCTGTTGATTTAGAGGCTGGACTTGCTTGCAGCGATGCTGGATGCCTCACCTATGGATGGACGCATCGCATAGGATTTCCAACTTTTAAGGAAAGGTACTCTAAATCCTCGCTGCAACCAGGTTTCCCAGCAACTGCAGATCATTCTGAATCGATCCATAAGAGCATACAACAGAAGATGATGGTCTCGATTGGCTAACAAAGTTGTTTAAAGGACGGGGGTTATCAGGCTGGCTGATCTCTTTGATCAGAACCACTGGAATGATCCTGTTAGTCATCATAAGTGTGCTTTAATGTTGCCATGTCTTTTCAGTCCCCTGCAAAGGGCCCTGCAGAAGGCTGCTCATGCAATATTGGTAGCACAAATACAAAAAGGGGGAATTGTCGGGGTAGGCAGCGGGTCTGCTGAACGCCTGGCAGAGAAGATGGAATTTAACCTCAGCCAGATCATCCCGTACCCATGAGAAGTCTGCATGCAGGAGGGCATACCACAGATAAGGAGCAAGGACAGCGAACATCTGCTGGAAGAAACATGAAACTGTTGAACACAGATAAGGAACTGTGTGAATCATGTTCAGAAGTAAAACTTTAAGAAAGCTATCCAATCATGTACCATTGCTATGGGTGTACCGTTGCTATGGGTTTAGCCAATTATGTTAGAGCTTGCAGTAGTTGTAAAAGATATATAAAGTATGTAGAAAACAATAAACACACTTCTTTTACTCCTTAGTCAATTGTCACATGACCATCTCTACCGCGACATTAACCCTAACCCTAACCCCCCTAACCCTAACCCTCACCCTAATGACCCTAACCCCTAACCCCAACCCCCACCCCTAAACCCTAACGGCCCTAACCCTAACCCTAATGGCCCTAACCCTAAATCCTAACCCTAATGGCCCTAACCCTAATGGCCCTAACCCAAACACTAACCCCTAACCCCCTAACCCTAGCCCTAATGGCTAACCCTAACCCCAACACCAACCCCTAACCCTACCCCTACCCCTAACCC